AAAAAAAAAAAAAAAAAAAGATGAGAAGGAACAGAGAGTGGGCTACCTGGGGGACCTGCAGACACTTGCCAAGTTGGCTCTCCGCCTCCCCCTGCTGCATGTAGCTGAAGTGGGCTTCCAGCAGGCTGTAGGATCCTCCTGGGGAGCCAGGCTGCACCTGACGTTTCTCTGCAGCTGTACAACCCTTGTCCTGTACAATCCTTTACCAGGATGCCCAGCTGCCAGGCCAGCTACATTTCCATGGGCCTGAGAAGCAGTCACTTTCTCATTTTGAAGGAAGGAGTGATGCTCTTTGGTCCCTCCCACAATTGATTTTAGAAGCAGCAATATGACTGTACCCAGCCAGGGCCAAGTGCTCAAGATCAGCCCAGCATGTTCTGATACCAGGAGCAGCTGGATCAGACAGCAAGTCCAGAGACTCTCTGGGAATTGATGAAACTGGCTCAGGTGTCTGGAAGGCCTCCTCCTCCCATGACTGACCATCCTTTAATCTGGGTTGTTCTCATTCACATGTGTGAAACATGTCTCCTGTCTCTTCCCCAGGCAGCCAGAATTGAAGAATTGTGACTCCACATATCTATGGGAGCTGAAGTACTCTGCGGCCATCTGGCAGATTCCTGCAGCTGTCTCCTAGCCTGCAGGGCAAGGTGGCCCTGAGGATTGACCCAGGACAGGATCCCTCCACGCTCTAGTGAGAAGCCAATCATGTACTTCCTGATGATCGCTTTGTGAAGGGACAATGAATTGTGGTGTCCCTGTAATTTTCTGCATGGATATCTCTCTGTTGTCCTTTGGCCACTTCCCCCTGACCTTGCGGGTGGCCCTGCACCCTGGCGACATGGCAACTTCTCTTCACATGCACAGTGAGCTACTGTCTTGGGGTCTTGTCACTAAAGATCAGTGCTTATCTCTTGTGCCCTGGCAGAAGCACCTGGTCTGGGTAAATTTTCAGGACTACCTGGGCCTGGGGCCACACTGGCAAGGTGCCTGGACCTCTTTCCTGCCTAGGCATTGGCCAGAAAGAAAATGCTGGAGCAGGGTATTAGGCCTTGGGCCATGCGGCCAGCACAAGAAACCCCTTGGAACCCAATTTCATTTAAGTCCCGGCTCACGGCTTATTGGACTGCAGGTAAATAACTTAGCTTTAGTCTTAAATATTTTAAGTGGGGGTAGTAGAACTTAACTTCTATGAGGGTGCAGCACAGAATAGGCTGTCACAAAAGGAAAGCCCTTACTGTTAGCCATTCCTGTGCCCTCCATAAGATTCACAGGAATTATTAGCCATTTGACATTTCTATCTAGAGTCCAAGTCACTGAGAAGGTCCTTCTGCTTCGGTATCTGCTGTTCCTTCTTCTATGGACTTGAGCTGGAAATCTGTCCTTGGTTATATTCTAACTAAATTTTAGATGTAGATTGATTTTTAACCCATTAAATATTCCAAAATATGAGGAGCCACATGCCAGGGGAGTGGTGCATAAATTTTATCTGGGTTATTTGGTATAGAAGAACACATTTCAGCTTTAATGAATAACATTTAATCCCTCATGAGAGTATTTTCCTCCAATAAGGAAGGTTTTCCTGAGATAGCACCAGAGGAAATATTTTGAGACAGTAGATAGAAGACTAGAATTGTCCAAGAAATAGGCGGGGAAGAAACTCAGAAAAAGTCCTTGTTCTATCCTATCCTAGTCTGGGGATTTTGAGCCTCAGTTTCCCCATCTGTAAAGTGGTTGTGGTGAGGTTTGGACTAGTTGATGCCTAAGGATCCTCATTGTTCTGATATTTCCCTGCGTGAGACTGCTGGGAGGCCTGCTAAACAGAGTTCCAGTTTTCAGAGCCGCCCTTGCAGTTCACTGAACAGGGGCAGGTTCCCTGGGACTTCCGGGCTGCCCACGCTAGCTCTGAGAGGCTGTAAACATATGCACAGACAGAGCATAAGAAGATGACACTTCTTGCCCACATCACGCCAAGCTGGAGTAATTAACAGACGCATTGCAAAGTGTATCTGGCATATCTAGCAGACTTTTAAAAACGACTTCCCAAGATTATAAAAGACTTTAATTAGTATTTCACAAAGGTGGACACTGAGGATTTGCTAATTGCCCTGCCTGTATTTTTTTTTTTTCCTTAGGATTCGAAGCAGCTCCAGTGATACGAAAGAGTGAACAGTGTTTTAAGGGCACGGGGCAATGTGACAACAGTGATAGATATGCTAATTTCTTCATTCACTCTACTTCACTTCTTTTATTCTTTCCAATTAAAGCAAATGCTACTGAAACCATAATTAAGCAGGGCTGGGCCCTGACTGCCTGCTGCTTTAATGAAGCCCTATTGATTTTCCTTTTCTTTCTAATGGCCACACATGGTGCTCAATGGTCAAACATATGCCCCAGCACAACGTCCCAGTAAAACTTAATTTTGGCCAGGAGAAATGGAAGGCTGCCGGAAAAGGGTGTCAGGGTTACAATGTGTATGGGCGCGGCGTCCTCTTTGGGACAAGAAACACACCCACAACTATATGACCATCAAAAAAAAAAAAAAATGCATGCGGTGAGAAGTCCAATCCTTTTTCATTCTGTGAGGTTTGTGTTCAGAGCAGTGTGTTAGTTAAACTGTAGTGGCTTAAATAAGTTGGATCTTAAAATCTGGGCCATTGGGAGCCCTGGAAATATATATTCTTGACAGATGTTCACAAGCCAGAGAACAGTTTTGGTGACAAAGTATCAGAGGAACATTTTACTTCTCTTTGGCAATTAACTAGAAAAAGATGCTTTTTTTTTTTATTAATAAGCTGTATTTCTGGGAATATTCTTGCACATGCAGCCCACCTCCTGCAGCAAGTACATGGATGCCAGGCAAGTAAGATGAGGGCAGAGTGATGGGAACCTAGGGCAGCAAATATTTGCTGGTGCAAATTAATATTCTGGCCAAGAGGCCAGGCGTCAGATGTCGTTGCTGTTTTTCTGTGCCCAGCTATGGGCATTACCACGTGGGCCTTGGCAAAAGCTGACAAGCTGTAGCAGTCCTTTCTTATCCACGGTCTTGCTTTCTGAGGTTTCAATTATCCGAGAAATTTTCCAAAATTACTCTGAAATAATTTGTTATTCCAGAAATAAACAATCTATACATTTTAAGTAACTCTTTCTGCAGTGTATTGTTATGTTTATTTTAATGCTGTTAGTGTTAATCTCTGACTAATTTTATTAGAAATTAGACTTTATCCCAGGCATGAATAGATAGGAAAAAACGTAGTGCATATAGGCTTTGTATTATTTGAAGTTTCAGCATCCCATGGGGTTCTTGGAATACATCCCCTGAGGAGAAAGAGGACCACTACAGGTTGTCCATTTCTCATGGTCCCCTGCCTGTCCCCCTCCCCCACTTTCCTTTACTGGGTGAGCTGATTCCCATATGCTGCAATCGGATGGGACTCCTGCCACTGTCGTCAGGCGCTGGCTACAGCTGTCTCCTTAGAGCCTGGGTAAGCCTCTATGGGAGAAAAAAGGAACAGACCAAGGGAAATTGTGCTGTTATTAGTTATGTAATTGAGGCCGGGAATGTGGGCAAATTGCTCCCCAACAGGATAAAAAAGAACGAACACTATCAGTCCTGCCTTCGTCACAATCCATGGGGCATTGGTGACCTGGTTGGGTTCATTCTCCTTCGGCAGATTAGTCAACCTTGGTTAGATGTAAGCTTCCCAACATGACTCTTCCATCCAGAGAGGGGGAAGCCAGGACTTGTTTACCTCTGCACTATTAGCACTTTGGTCTGGAGACCTCTTTGTGTTAAGGGTCTTGGATTTGTGGGGGGCTGTCTTATGCTTTGCAACCATCTCTGCCTCTCCTCACACCCCCTGTCATGGCCACGATAAGCACCCCAGATAATGTCTCAGATAATGTTAGATGTACTCTAGGGAGCAGTTTTGTTCCCACTTAAAAGTCAGTGATCCAGACACTTACATTTTACTCATTTGGGGCTGAAAGCACAGAACCTTTCAAAATGAGCACACAGACATGTTGTTTTACTGTAAGGCTTTATGAGTCATTGTATCGTGTAACAGTATACTGGTTGTAAGTAAAAATGAAAATTCAAACTTCAGAATTAAAAACTAGAAAAAAGAAGACTATTGTTTGGGAGAGGGTGGCAGAACATAGAACATTTTTTAATGAGAGAACTTTCCGGAAAGAACCTGGACCAAAAGTCAGAAGACCTATGGGCAGACACAGTTTGTACCTTGCTGGGTGGTGTATAGTTAATTCCAAGTCCTTTGAGCCAGGAGTTTTTGTATTAATACAAGGAGTATTAATACAAGGAACATATTACAGGGATTCATCTCTGGGGGTCCTGACAGGACTGACATTCTTAATAGTTGAACAGAGGCATAATGAGTAGTACAAATATGGAATCGGAATTTTCAGTTATGGGCAAAATTTACGACATTTGAGAAAGGGAGTGAGTGAGAAGGAGAACAAATAAGGACAAAGAGAAGATATGGATAACTGACAGGAGCAGCAGGCACTCAAATCCATCTGACATCGTGAACAGTCACTAAAGCACCCGGCCTCAGAGCATCTGAAGGTTTCTACACCATCTCACAGAGGCCCATCTCTGTGGAGGAGAGGCACAGGGAAGATCATATTCGTTTTGCAGAGAATCCTTTTACCCCTAAAACATTACTTTAAAAAAAATTCATTACTTTGAGCTCCAGGCTTGCTGGTAGCCCTGTGGGCAGTGCTTAGGGTCAGGGTCGAAGCCTAGGGCCAGGGAGGCTGCAGGATTCTGGAAGCAGAGAAGCAGTTGGCACCTCAAAGACTGCAGGGCAAAATTCCCCAAACGAGAGATGTTTAAAAAGCAAGGGTAAGTTCTAAAGCTCCGTCCTCAGGGCTGATCCCCAGAAGCAGAGACTGTAAGATGGTGTCGCACGATGACTACGCTTTCATGGTGTCTGTTGGGAAAAGGCTGGCATCCAGGAGAGACAGCAAACCACACCTTTGCTTGCTTTATCTTCGTTTCCTCTTTCAGAACCCGCATCTTAGGGTTTCATCTTTTAAGGACGAACCGTTTTTTGATAACCCCTCAGAACCGAAGAACTTTTTCTAGATAAAGAGGAAAGCAAGATTTTTAATTGTTTTTTATAAAATTGCTTCTACTTTTGAAAGAGATCAAAGACCCTTTTCCTGGATGTTGGTTCTGACATCTTGCTTGTTAGGACTGGAGAGATAGAGAGAGAGAGAGAGAGAGAGAGAGAGAGAGAGAGAGAGAAATGGCCCCTAGGAATGGAGCCGCAGGGACCCTGAAAAGGGGACACCATCATGCCACCATCGAGTTCTGTCAACTGTCAAGTTAATTAGAACGAAATTAAAAACACATTTGCCAAGATGTTCCGCAGCCAAACCAGTTAAATAGAGATTTTAACAAAATTGAAAGCATATTATACTGAGATTTGTGGATTCTGGCCCGGTGAGTGAGTGCTGAAAGTGTGATAAAATAACAAAATTGCTGCCTAATAATCTATAGAATAATATTGTCAACTAATGGATTATAATAAAATAAAAGCTGTTATTAGGGTAAAACATTATAACAAAAAATCCAACTTTTATTTGCAGCACCTCCCCCTTAATGGTTTTGAGCATTTTGAAAGGTAATTTAAACAAGTACATTGTGTCCTTATTGTAGCGG